CTTGATCTCTGGAACCCACATAATAGAAGAGGAGATCCCTTGGCAACCTATCCTCTGGCCTCCACACAGGTACTTTGGCTCACTTTCTCCCCAATAAAATAAATTATAAAAACAAAATAAAATAAAACCTTGGAGTTCAGAGTCATAGACTTCCCATAGATCACTATGATTCTTAGCAACACGTTCAGTATGGAGCACACACAACAGTCTTCACTGAGGAGAGTCAAAGGCATGATCAATATATGCACAAAGTTATCAGTGGACAGCATGGCCAAAATAATTGGCAGCTGAAAATGTCACTAGAAAAGAGTTCCATAATCATAATTAAAGAAAGCTTGCTCCTTGGTTATGAACTTTGGAAATAAAGCACTTAGGAAAATAATCGGACAATAAAGCTAGAAAGAAGTCTATATTGAACATTTGCAATAAAAATTAATAGTATAAGAACAAAATATTAAATCTAGTTTATATACACAACAAGAATGAAAATGTTTTGTATATTAAAATCATTAAATATAATAAATAATTAAAATATGATGTAACTTTCTATAAATTTGATTGGCATTGATGAAGTATTTATTTCTGGTGTCATCAGCATATATTTTATGTGCTACATAAATATCTATGGTTATTAACTCAAGAAATATTTACCCAGCTCTTATTTGTACTAACTCATGATACACATTGATGAAGAAAAAAAAATAATGATTTACTGAAGAAACTACATTACTGTTTGTCTATCTTCTATGGCTATTATATATTATAATCCTTTTATATGCATGTGGTACAGGTGTGTGCATGTTTGTATGTGTAGAAGCATTTGCAGGCCCAAGGTTGCTATTGGGTCTCTACCCTATATATGGGAGCAGGATCCCTTGTAGAACAAGACCTCACCATTTAGGTGAAGTTGTATGGAGCTAGCCTGCTAGCCAGTGATTCTGTGTATCCACTTCTCACATGCTGGAGCACAGACAAACTGCTATATTCACTGGCTGCTATGTGGACTCCAGTCCTCATGCACTCATAGCAAGCATTTTAACCAGCTGAGCCATCTCCCAACCCTGTGTGCAAGTTTAAATGGCAACTCTGACAATAGCATCTAAGATGATTTCATAGAACTTATAAGAGAAGAAACCAGCCAGAAGGCAACCATAGTCTCTGGATAATAGAAGTGGGCACTGAGACAGAAGCTGTGGCCTTAAAAGGGCAGCAGAGTCATTAGGGGCAAGAACTGGCATAAACCGGCCATGATTCTGGGATTATTCTAACTCATGTTAAGAGAAAGTTCTCAGGAAAAAAAGAAGTGACTAAGAGGGGAGCTGGGAAAATTAGAGGAGACATGGACAACCTAATTCCATATATCTCATCAAAAGCAAAAGCATATGCTTGTGTGTGCAATAGAGGTCATGGAAGTTTATGAACTTCAGAAAAAGTGGACCTGAGGGTGAATGCTATGCGCACTTAATAAAATGTTCATGTTTAATCATCTATTCGCAAAGGGGAAAGGGCACAACCCCAAAAAAGGCTTCCTCCCTAGTGGGGCTTACTTGGGAAATTGATAAAGCAGACACATTTTAAAACCACGGCTAGAGAAATTGTAAAAAAAAACAAAACAAACAAACAAACACCTGAATGAGGACCCGAGTTTAAAGAGTTCAAATCCCTAGAATCAATGTAAAAGCCAGGTTGGACATATACACCTGAAACCCCAGTACTGTTAAGATTAGAAACAGAATTGCTAGGGCTTGCTGGGTTCCAATCCAGCTCCAGATCCAGTGAAAGACCCTGTCTCAGAGGGATAAAGCTGAACATAATAAAGCAGGACACTTGGCATCATCCAGGTGACTGCTTTACCCTTCAATGCTGATGGACTCAGAATACAGATATGTGCACACACACACACACACACACACACACACACACACACACACACACAAACACACACACACACGTAAAAATACTCAAACAGATCAATACTTACAATTTTTAAAAAATATAGCAGAAAAGGCATGATAAAGGCATATTACATAATTATATAAAGCCTGTTAAAGTCATTGACAGCTGTATTCAAAATCTCCACATAGTATCAAGTGTTTTAAAAACTTTTATACATAAAAAACCATTTCTATCCTTTCCTTTTGCTTTTCACATTTAAGAAGTAAAATATTAAACACCAATTCTCTTTGTTTTAATTTTTTTAATTCATGAGCTCTGGTTAACACCTTAGGTGAGCGTAAATGACAATGTAGTAAGGTGTGTGTGTGTGTGTGTGTCCATCTGTATTCTTTATGCAAGTCTAGTCAGAACACAACACATAGTAGTTACAAGAAGATCTTGTACAAAAGACTTCTGATGGATTAACAGATTCCTACAATTCCCTGAGCCTGGTACCATGATTAGGCTGATGTTACAGAGGGTAAGAGTTCCCCCTATAGAAGTTAATCCACACCAGTTAAGTACAAAAGGATTCATAATCCAGGGGGTAGACTAGATGCCAGGTTCATGAGCATCTGCTTCCTCCTTCATGTATCATGTCCCATTCCCTTCTGCTGCTGCATCAGAAATATCATCCAGGTGACTGCTTTACCCTTCAATGCTGATGGACCTCAGTCTATTCTTCCATCAAAACTCCAGGGTACAGCACAGTAAGGAAAGCACCTGCTATGGAAGTGTGAGGACCTGAGTTTGGATCCCTGGGATGCATAAGATGCCAGGTGTGTATTTCTGTAATCCCAGCACTCCTAAAGTGAGAGGAAGAGGTAGATGGGAGAATCCCTGGGAGTGCACAAGCCAAAAGAGTAAGAGGCCCTGTCCCAAGCAAGGTGGAAGGCAAAGGCACACACTCAGGGTTGTCATCACACGCATTCTGTGGCTCTTAATCACCCACACAAGAATATGCATACGCATGAGCATGCACGCATGATTGCATCACACATAGAGACATAGAGAGAAGGCAATGAAGAAAATACAGGATCTCAAAAAAGCCATTTAAAATTCAAATTTCCTATAATCCTGCGAAGGGGAGCATTTGTTATCAGGACTGAGGCTTTAATTCATTCTTGGGAAACAATATCAATTTAGAAAAGATGACCCTATGCCTCCCAGGACCCTTAGGCACTGTCACTTCATCAGCAGAGTCCCTTCCGTCCTCCCTATGAGGATGGCAGAAGTTCCCTCAAGAACTTTCTGAAAGCTACTATGTGGCCAATTACATTTATGATCTGGGCACAAACTCCACAATGTCCCTAAGTCTAAGTCTTAATAAAGACTTTAATGTATGCCTTATTAGTCTACTAATTCTGTGCGGCTAGCCAAAATGACTGTGGTTGGGATGTAACGTATGAGAAAGAAGAATAAAATAATAATAATAAAATAATACAGAGACTACAAAGCATATTTGCACAAAGAATCCGCAAGATGCCCTGCCATGCACCAGTAAGTTTGCCCTATAGAAAATCTGATACAATTGACTGGGAATTCACTAGGTATTGGAATTTTAGGTATTCCTTGGGAGATTCCAAGGTACAGGCATCGTTGTATGTCATGGAAGATTCCCCCTTTCCACCTACTATCTGAGGGGGAGGGGAAATGGAATTCACATGGCCAGTGAACTTGGATAAGAAAACAGAGACAGCTGGATGTCTGCTGGTCCTTCTGGTCTTTCGTGGGAGCTGGCCCTTTTCTTCAGTGCTGAGCATCAGCTAACAGGCCACCCATGTGATATACTGGCAGCTGAGTTTGCACTCACTGATAGGCTTGTAGCATTTAGATGGTTATCACCAGACCTTGTTCTCAGTTATGGCTGTGATGATATTATGGTTGTTTAAGGGGTGTGCTGCAGAGCTACCAATACCCTATTCAATAAGAATACTACCTGTAAATACTACTCTCCTTTAGCACTGTGACGATTGTAACCAAGTATTACTATCTGATTTTACTGTAGCCTGTGCATTTTACATGATTCACTTCATTCAGTGTAGACTGCAGCATGAGAAAGCACAGGAGTTCTGCTCCAACAGCATGCCCTAGCAAGCCAGAGGTGGCATTTGCATCCAAGGCCCTCCCAGGCAGGGACACCCTGGACCAGAGCTGGCTCTCATTTTCTCCCGTTTCCGCAGATAAGGTTTAGCCTGAAAGGCAGTTCAACTCAGAGAATAGGATGCGCTTTCTCTTTCGCCTCAGCTGCCTCTTACTCTTGGCATTTTGGAATGCCAGGACTGCCAGGACAGTAACTCGAGCCTCCAAATTAATCAAAACACACAGCACCCAGTTCAAACCCTGGCAGAGAAGCCTGGGAGCCAGGCAAGCTCTCCTCTGCTGACCCCAAGGCCACAACTTCGCCAGCCACCACCTCTTAGATGCCACAATGTTTGTGCTCCCAGGCAGGTGCCCTGGTGTTGGGGCAGTGCCTGCCTGTGGGCGGCTTACCTGGGCGAACAACCAGGCAGAGAAGGAACTGCAGACTAGCAGGCAGACTTGACACGCGCCTCGCGGTGTTGGCTGGAGGGAATCCACCCGTGACCGTGTTCCTCTTCCCTGCCTGTTCAGCGTCAACTCTGTGTGGTGGCTGCAGGTTGAAGGCCGGCAGCAGATGTGCAGCCTCGGGAGCTGCCAGCAAACCTGGCCTCCAGAGTCACAGATACCCGCACGCCTCCAGCTTAATCTGGGCAGGGCTGCTGGCCACTCCCTCCACCCCGTGCAGCCACCTCCCTACCGCACACCCCTAAATTCCTCACGCTGACCTGCACCCGCTAGGCACAGAAGTCCCAGGATCGCAGGGACATCGCCTCTTTCACCCTGACCCTGGATCGGAGCCCACCTGCCTGCTCTGCGGGCGCCCAACCCTTTCTCACTTCCTGGGCACGATGCCCGGTTGAAGGGACAGTGCCTGGCTAGCTGGGAGGGGGAACGAGGGCGGGACCTAGGCCACCTCTTCCCTCCCTTAGAGTCGCAATCAAAAGCTTGGTGAGGACAAACAGACCCGCGGTGGGTCGAACCCTACAAAAAAACGCTCCCTAGTGGGCCAGGAAGCAGGACGAGCTACCCAGAGGGATCTCCCCAATCTGTGTCCCTCCGGGGACACGGAGGCCTGGAAGCCAGTGGGTCCGGTGGATCTCTAAACACGCTGGGACTCAGAACCGACGCCCATCATGCATGCTGAGGCTGCTCCAAGGTTGCAGGCACTCCTGCTGCCTATCTTGCTGCTGCTCCTGGCCATACCATCTGTGGTTAGCAAGGTGAGTGAGTGAAGGACTGTGCGACCCTACTGCTGCTTGTCCCTAACCCGGGAGGCACAAGCCAGTCCCACCCGCTAGGGCGCTGTGGGGTCACTGTCTGGAGGGTTGCTCAGCTGGGAGCTTCTCCTGAGTCCTGGGAAAAGAGCAGCAGCCCGGGCAACAGGTGGAATGTGCGGTACTGGTAGAAACGAGGAGCCTGACAGATGTCCAGGACTCCAGGAGTCCCAGATGGAGGAAAACAGATTGCAGAGATGAGCAAGTGGATGTCAATAAATAGGTCATGGATAGATGTATGATAGGGATGGGTATAAGGTAAGTAATAGATAATAAATGTAGGTTATATACTATAGGCAGATAGTGATAAATAGAAGAGCGGAGATGATAGGTAAATAGGCAGTAGATGATGGGCAGGTAGATGACAACAATGATAATGTGCAGGATAGTGGAGGTATGGTGGCAGGCTGGTGATTGAGCAGGTGGCTTGGTGGGCTAGAAGTGGCCAGGCCAGGGGAGGGGGACCTCCTTAGAAGTACCCAAGCCTGGGGTTGGTAGGGGGACGTCCTCCTTGGAGTCTCAGCCCTACTCCTTTGTAAACCAGACCTCACCTTGACTCTGACTTCTTTGGGGTTCAGTAGTCCTTTGGCGCTGTCTGGACACAACATTCATCACAGGAAAAAGAAAGTCAAGACAGAACTTCTGTTAGGATGAAGTAAGCAATGTCACATTGATTGATTTCTATTTGGAATTTGGGTGACCCTGCGTTCATTTGAACATACTCTATAATCCTTGCTCTTTACTACTAAAGATATAATCTCCTCAAAACTATGAGAATTTTGGCTTGATTTTAACTTGAATTTAACTTTTCAAATGCCTGGTGTTATTTTTATACTTAAAAGTTAACTTGGGTACAGTAAGCTTCCTTTCCAAAGATGACCTAGTCCTACCTACATGACTGAGACTGATTGGAGATAATGGTCACAGAGTCACCTGAGAACACTTTAAGGACCTATGGCAGTATATATTCCAATTATTTCCACTCCACTTACATTTTAAGTGAGGCATTGCAGCATTGCAACTAAGCTAACACTCCTCTGGACCCTATTTCCCCACAAATACCCAGACTTGCTTTTTTTTTTTTTTTTTTTTTTTTTTTGTGGTGTTTCTTTCTAATATTTGTGTGCTTGCATACACAGCTACAGATCCATGGCAGTACATAGTTGTGCCTGTTTTGTTTTGTTTTGTTTTGTTTTATGTAACTGTTTCCAGGCTAAATGTGTCATTTGCAACCTAAAGATCTGTCTACACCTGTGGTTAAGGTCTGCATCTTTTTATCTTCCCACTTCGTTGCATAGTTTTTAACAATGTGCTAAAGTTAATTGATCTAGTCATCCCCCATTCATTCACAGGTAGGTGACTTGGTGGTATCTTTGCATTTGCATTCTAAAAGATTGTTGTAACCCATGTAAAGTGGTTCTAATAATACCACATTTTCCAAGGTTAGTGAGATGACCCAGTGTATAAAGACTGACAACATGAATTCAATTCCCAGCTCCTGAAAGTTGTGTCCTTTCCCCCCCAACCCAATGAATAAAAATAGTAAACTAAGACTGGCTAAATGCTGCTGGGCAGGATGACTATCACTTGTGCAAACTGGTGTGTACTACCAAACAGCTTTAGCAGAAGCCTGTAAGTCGGGAAAGCCTAAAGGAAATGCATGTTATACAAAGGCCTGGGAACACTTTGCACTCAAAGAAAAGCAATGAGAGTGTGAAGGAACACAGAACTCTCGGAAGAATCACCCTTGAAAAGTGGTGCCCTGGGACTAGAGCGATGGTTCAGTCGTTAAGAGCAATTGCTGCTTTTGCACAGGACCTGGGTTCAATACCCACTTGGTGGTTTACAACCAACTGTAACTCAAGTCTCAGGGGATCCAATGAGCTCTTCTGGCCTCCATGGATACACATGGCCACAGAAAGACATGCAGAGAAAACACATATAAAATAAAATGAATCAATCTAATTTTTAAAATGTGATACTCTGTGACCATAGACCCTCCAGTTATATACTGTGTGCAATTACATTGTTATATTCTCTTGCATCTTACATATAAAATTATTTCTCTTTTGAGTTTGGGTAGATCAAAGCATTACACTTTAAGTTAATAACTACCACAGTGAATCTGTTGCATTTCTATTGAAGCTTGATGTGAGTCTTTGGTAAAAGCATTCAGAGTTATTATTTCCATTGCACCTGCAGAAGGAGACAGAAGAGCTGCCCCTACGATTACAAAATGGAGATACCTTTTCTCTACAATATCTCCAGTTAACCGGTACCTGGGTGGCTTGTGCCAACATGGCTGAACCCACAAACTACTGCTATAATGAGCAAGGCAGGTGGCTACTCTGAATCTCAATCTGTGATGTGGGAGAATTGATGTCCCTCCAGTAGCCAGCAGGTGGGGGAGGGGATAACTTTAGGCACATCTGGCTGTTGACAGTCTAGAATTCAGGCCCAGTGTGTCACCATCTTTCTAGGGACGAAGCTAGGAATCTGATTTTTAATCATACACGTATCATATTAAAATCAGCAAACAACTAAGTTCAGTTTTACTCAAAGCAGAACAACAAACAGGAAAACCAAACAAAACCATGGTGAGTGAAACAACGTGTAGATGAGAGGCACATTCAGCCTTTGGGCTGGCGTGTGTATAAGCTGTGTGTCTCCAGTTGTATTTTAGCCATTTCCCCAAACAGGAATTTAGCAACAGTGCTGACCCTGTATGCTCCACTTAGCCAAGGTGAAACTGCCTGCCCACACAGTTTGTCCCTACCACCCAGGGAGATGGTCTTTGCTGCTTGGCTGAGAAGCCAGGTGCCACCTAGCCGTTCACCGACCCTGCGGGCTCACTGCCAGCTGTCTTCTGCCCACTTTGCCCATTTTAAACTATCAGGCCCTCTGCTATTACTCCAGGCAATAGGTGAGAAATGAATGCCCATCTCTGCTCCCTGAATAAGGTGGAAATCACCAGCTAACTTAACACTATCTTAAGTTCCAAGAAGAACTGCAAGACTCACATTGCTCGTGAGGATGTTTTCTCATCTGAATTCAACTTTCGGTTGGACTAGTTAGCACTTCAAACAAACAGAAAGTAATGTAATAGCACAAATTTATCTAACCCCGAGACTAAGCAAATATTAATAAAACTTGGCTTGCCATCTCTCGGATTCCCTGTGTTAGGAGGAAAAATACAAAATGTCATAATATCTAAATTCTTGACTTTCTTCCAGCCCAGGAGGTCTGTCTATGTCATTCTCATTAAAGATTTTGTATTTATGCTTTCCACACAAGTGAGTGGTATGTTTGAGTGTGTGTGTGTGTGTGTGTGTGTGTGTGTGTGTGGTCTCCTTAAGAATAAATATTACTGCTTGTGGTTTTTCAAGTATAATAGTTCCATATTACATTCTTGCTTTTTTAAATCATTGACTTTTATGTTATTGGCTTTTATCCATATCGACATACATGTTATTTTGCAGAAATACCTGTTTCATAACATTCTGTAATATAAAGCAGGTTGTTCTTTTCAGCCCCCTCCTCAACAGTGTAAACTTGTCTTCACACTTTCCCTTTACAAAGTTGCAATGCATGCCTCTCTGAATGTAGCATTATGACAACTAGAACTTGAATCCCTGGGTGCTTATAGAGAACCTGGTGCCATTACACTAACCTACAGTGAAGTTACATCACATTCACCCTTTCTCTTCATCTGTGGCAAAAGTTGATGTGCTGGGGTGGTAACAAGTGTGAAGTGGGACCTCGTTCTAACTAGAAAGATTTCATACTTGTTCACCGCTTTACACTTCCCTCACTGTGAATTGCCTGGACCATTTTCTGCTCATTCATCTATTATAAATTTGCCTTTTTTGTTTGTTGGTTAGTTTGGTTTTTGGTTTTTTTGTTTGTTTGGTTGGTTGGTTGGTTGGTTTTGCTAAGGGTTCAGAAGTGATGTGTGCATTTGGATACCAAACTTGTGCTATTTGAATGTCTTATAAGAAGGTGATCCTAATCTTTGACTCATCTGTTAATTTAGTTATCTGTGTCTTAATGTAGAACACTTCATCTAACATAACTTCAAAGTTACCTGTGTTACTTTAGCATTTTGTCTGCTGCACCTTGTCAAAGAAATCCTTTCTTGGAATTATGAAAACATAACTTTGTATTCCTCTGTTTGGAAAATAAAAAAAGGCTATGCTATAACTTCTTTATCCTGAAACTGTCCAACTTACAGTGTATAAATTCATTTTCACCCCACACAGATAAGAAATTATCCCATATTCTTTCAGTAGAGCATTTCTTTGCTTTGCCATTACATCTGTAAACATGTAAAGTATGTGGGCTATCTGTTTATTTCAATGATCCTTTGTATTGTTTTGTTTTGTTTTATTCTCTATGGCAATAACATACTGATTTTGACCACTTTGTTCTCAAACTACACCATCTAGAGCAAGTCTCAGACAGAGCAGTCATGCCTGCTGTTATAATTTTCTTTAAAATTTCCACTGCCATTCTTCTATGCTCCTCTGGCTAAGGTCTAGCATCCACTTATCAAAGTTATATCAAAAAAATCCCTGTTGGGTGCTAATATGCATTGCATATAATATAATGACTATGTTGCCGCATAAACATGTGTCTGTCTCACACAAATGCTACTGATTTTGAAACTTGAATGTGGGTCTAGCAACTTTCTTGAATTATTTCTAGTAGTTTATGCATTTAAATTTCCTGTGTAGCTAGACATATTATCAGTGAATAATGACTTTATTTCTTTCTAATCTTTGTATATTTTGCCTCCTCTCTCTCTCTCTCTCTCTCTCTCTCTCTCTCTCTCTCTCTCTCTCTCTCTCTGTGTGTGTGTGTGTGTGTGTGTGTGTGTGGTCAACATTGGGTGGCTTCCCCAATCTCTCTCTACTGTATTTTAGAGACAAGCTCTCTCACTGATCTTG